AAACAAACTAGAAACAGTAGGAGTACGTGGGAAAACTTATTCTTTATTTAAAAGCTTTCTCTCTGAAAGAACGCAATGTGTTAAGGTTGGAAAATACATTAGTACCGACATGCAGATGGAGTACGGTGTGCCGCAGGGTAGTTTACTCAGTCCTCTTCTCTTCTCCATCTATGTCAATGATCTCTGTAACCTTAACATATCCTCTACCCACATAATCGCGTATGCCGATGACACAGCAATGGTAACATATGGGCGTGACTGGGATATCGCAAAGAATGTAGCAGAATCTGCACTGAAGCAGGTGGGAACTTGGTTGGCCAGTAATAGCCTAACGCTAAATGTTGAGAAAACGAAATTCATCACTTTTGGATCGCGTCTCTCTACCCTGCCACCTGAGCCTTCTTTTACTATCAAATCCCATCAATGTGATATTCCAATTCACAATTGCGCATGTCCTACAGTGGCCAGAGCTTCGGTGGTGAAGTATCTCGGACTGCTACTGGACTCCTGTCTGTCCTGGAAATTCCACATACAGTCGCTGTCGTCACGCATTAGGAAACTTATATTTATCTTCAAGAAGTTAAGAACATCAGCTAACGTTAAGATAATAAAAATGGTCTATAGTGCACTGTGTGAATCAATTATAAGCTACTGTATAACTGCATGGGGAGGAGCAGCAAAAACCATCATCATTGAGGCTGAAAGAGCTCAACGAGCTGTAATAAAAGTACTCCTTAACAAGCCCTTTCGTTACTCTACCCAGCAGTTGTATAGGGACTATGAAGTTCTCACGGTCAGACAGCTTTTTATTCACCGCACCGCCCTGCGCAAGCACGTAACTTTCCCCCCAAATATTAATATTAATAGCCCCAATAGAAGAAGGAGGCCAATGCCGGTATTTCCCAAATTTCACACACGTACAACATTTGCACGTAGACATTACCCATACCTAAGTACGCTTATATATAACAAGCTAAACACTAAACTTAACATACACACTTTAAACACACACCACTGCAAAGACCGAATCAAACAGTACCTCCAAACCCTAAATTATGATGAAACAGAAGATCTGATTAAATGAACAGTCATTTGATTTCTAAACCTATCCTCTATTCACCAACCCACAAATATATCTACACTTACACTTATTCCAATCAATATTTACCCACAATCAAATATTATGCAAGGTAAATGTTATTCCCTAACGTTATTATAGGTTGACAATAATGCACACACTTGCACTACCTACCACACCAACCAACCAACGAACCAACCTAACGAACTTACCCACCCTAACACACACATTCCTACATGTATATATATTGTCTTTTTATTTTTATTTTCTTTTCTTACTTCCTTCTCTTGTATGTATCATTAAAAATAAATATATATAAACAGCTATCACATTTAAGGCACACCTGAACACATTACAGACGGATGGATGACTCCCATAACACAGGATGTTCCTAGCATGGGGTCATTGATCAATGATTTTGTGTGTATTCTGTTTCTTTTTTTTCTAAGTGTAACAATAAGTGTTTCTAAGTGTAACAATAAAGATATAAATAAATTATTGTCTAACTGCACAATCTTTTATTATTATTATTAACATAACTTTAGCTTACACACTATTACTTTTAGCCTTAATCTATGTCTTAAATTATATATCATTAATTCTAACTTAGCATATCTTAATGTGTAGGTACAAATTATCTTAGACTACTGCTTACTCTATTTGATCTAGTCTATTTAGTGGGTGTCGTAAGAGCCGACTAAGGGAGCAAACTAAGCAGGACAACAGCACTGAAAAGAGAAGGAAAACTTGAAACAAACCCTATACCAACCCGTCTGGCCAGCGTGGTATAGTAGGCCAAAACCTCCTTTCTAAGGAGAGGCCTATGTCCAGCAGTGGACTAGTATAGGCTGTTGATGATGATTGATGATTTATCTACGAGTACTCTAGCTTTATAGTTAAAGCATATTTACTTCCTTTCATCCGTTCCCCTATCCTAACTTAACTTTTTTTCTATATCTTGCATGAAAATAATAATTTTGCGGTCTGGGTTTTCTGTACTTCTCTTAGACATGTTTTTGGTATACCACAGTTCAGTTTCTCCGTATTTTTTACACAATGGACTAATGTTACAAAGTAATGTACGAGTTTTTAAACTTGCGCGTGCGCCTATAGAGATCTGTGTCAGTTGTGCTTTCGCTGTACGCGTTTAGATATTATCACTTAGACTTAATGGATGTGAAGTTTCTATAATAGTTACTATAATCATACCATACTACTTTCTCAAAACTATTTATTATCTAAGAAAACCTCATTTTTGAGTACCGTACTTCTGATAAAATAAAGGGAACCATAAATGGATCTCTCGTGCTTCCGTCTGTCCATTGCCTTTGCGAATTTCTTGGATCGATTCAGTTGCAATTTGGTAAACACATCAGCTATTGTGACCTAAACACAGTTCTTCATCATCATTATCTGTGGCAAAATGGGTAACATCACAAAAAAATAAAACTCTTTGACGGAGCTCCCTTATCTTATATGTAAAATTCTCGTGTCACAATGTTAGTTACCATACTCCTCTTTAACGGCTGGACCGATTTTTATAAAATTTTGTGTGCACATCGGGTAGGTCTGAGAATCGGCCAACATCAATTTTTCATACCCCTAAATGAAAAGGGTGACCCACCCCTAAATTTTTTTTTCAATATGTTTTAGAATTAATGTAGGTACATATATGGCAAAACAACGTTTGCCGGGTCAGCTAGTTTTATTTTAAAAGTACTCGTATTTAAACGAATAACAACGTATACTTATTTAGAGAATAGCTGATTGTATGTCGGTGTGTTTTTCTAGAAGTAGGTATCCTTCATAGGAGCAAAATGAATAAAAGAGGATCCACAAACTTTGAAGTGTGGGAACTTTGGTATCAGAATTATATTATTATTTTAATGACTTATTCTTTGCGTTTTTGTGATAAATATAAATGGTTTTTCTCAAAATTCTAATTAGTAAAATAAGTAAAGATGGAAATATGTTGCAATGACTTAGGTTATACCCACTTTGCGTTATGTTCACAAAGTAATTTGTGTATAATTAGCCAAAGAAATTGATCTTCTTTCCCTTTTTATGTTAATCTCGCACACTTAGGTATGTTAAATTTGAAATACTTAAAGTTTAAATATATTAAAAGTTGAGAAAGACAAAATAATACAATTTTGTTAAAAATTTAAAAAAATATGTAAAAACTCTAATGAAATTCTGTTTGTGGTAGACTAAGTTAATTTAAAAGAGTTACATATTTATTTGTGAAATCTTTTATAAAAAAAAACAGTAATTAATATAACCGGAGCAGAGCCAAGCTTCGAGACATATGGACCGGCTCGGCAGCAGTGGTAATACGGTCTGATAGAAAACCGGTGTTAACCAATTCTTGTGTTGCATTGCACCGAGGAAGTCAAGTTACCGGAAGTATTCTGTTAGAGCACTCAAAGACTGGCATTGATGCTGTGACATTTGAGTTCCATGTCTGATGTACTTGGCTCTCTTTACCATAAAATGTCGTTTGCTTTTTGTAAGACCTTGTTCCATTACAGGATTGAGAAATTGCAACGTTGTTTAGCACAGTTTCGCGGTTTCATTTCGATTAGCCTCTAGATTGTTTCGTGCGATTATCTGAAACCTTGGCGGGTAAAATTCTCATACTTTAATAAAGTACGAATTCTTGGTTGCAAAATGTAACCACCTTAGTTATATAAAGGTTATGGTTGGTTGCCAACTCTATTGTAAGGTTTCAATTTCTTTTTTTTTCTTATGGTTCAGTAACAGTAACAGCTCAGTAACAGGCAGTGAGAATATCACGTACCAAATTGGTGATACCAGTACGTCTTTTACGATGTACAAAACAGAGATCAATCACGTCAGCTCCGATAAACAGACTTAAACAAAAAGTTAAATATCTTGTTTTCCTCGGCTTATAAACTGATTATCTTTTTTTCTATATTTTTTTGTTTAGTGCTTGTGAACAAGTTTTTTTTAGACTTAGTAAAGGATTTTCCTGAGCAGTAAACTGGAGAAGGATGGTAAAATATTGAAGAAGAAATTAACTATTTTTTTTTTTGTTTTTTGTTTTGCGACCATTCTTTATTAAAGTTTTATAAATAGTAAAATGTGTAACAACATTTTTAAAAAGACTATTAGGATGTTGTCTGTTAGCGATAGTTAACTCACGTTAATGTGTGAGATTCAGTGAAATTATTCTTCGGGTGATAATGATAATTATTTGAATTTTTATGTTTTTATGTAATACTACTGCTGGCATTTGTGTTAAGAAGGATAAACACTGGTCATTAATATTACATATCAACATCAAGAGCCTTTAATAGTCTACTGCTGGACATAGGCCGCTCCTTAGAATCTGTCACCCTAGCAGAAGCAGGCCGGGGTGGCGGCAAGCGCGTTGCGAAGCGCGCTCGCTTCCAGGGAGCACCGGGAACATGGGGTTCCCACACGGGGGGGGTCGTCTACTCGTCTGTAGATGACCCGAGGTATGTCGGGGTACCAGGGACTTCCTTTCTAGGGTATACCTGGTTCCCCGGCTATTAATACCCGAGACGGCGTGCGGTTTTAGTCGGTTCGAGTCCGACATTCAACCGACAGGTGGTATCCGAGGGGATTTCGGCACGGAAAAAAAAAAGGCCGCTCCTTAGAGAAGGAAAACTTGACACTAACCCTACACCAACCCGTCTGGCCAGCGTAGTATAGTAGGCCAAAACCTCCTTTCTAAGGAGAGGCCTATGTCCAGCAGTAGACTTTAAAAAGCTGTTGATGTTGATATGTCATATTAATGACCGGTGTTTATACTTGTTAACACAAATACTCAGTTGATTAATACACAAAAAATAGGTGGTCTGTTCTTATACACAGGCGTAGATAAAACGATTTTCTTTTTTATCAATATTTATTTTTTATTTCCTATTTGTTACAGAAAAATGGACAAGGAGAAAACACCGCACTGATAAGAACCACAAATGAAGAATTCAGTAACAGTTTTAAATTTAAGAAATTGATCTCTTTAATTAAGAACAAATGAACGTAGCCTAAACATATAGTTATATTTGTAAAATGCCGGCGATATTGACTAAGATTCGTGAGCAAGCATCAAGGGTGCAACCCTCGATTGCCTTGGGGGTTGGAGTGGGGGTGGCGCTTGCTGCGTGTGCTGTATACGGGACAAGGGAGAAGAAACAAACACAATCATGCAATAATAACAATAATTATAAGGTGGGTATTGGTCATTATATGAGTTTTAATTGTATGTTATAATCATAATCACAATTATTTATTATTTGCATAAAACAGGTATTAAGGTGGTAGAAGATACATCATATAATACATGGGTACGCTGTAATATAACCTCTTAAAGGTGTGCAAATATTTAGACATAGATATTTAAAAGATTATTATTTAGACGTTCAACATTACAAATACAATTTGAAGAATATATTCATATCATAAATTTATTTAGAGAATTAATAATGTCAAGAGTATTATGAATGTTATTCAGTCAGATCAATATAATAGAAAACATAAAAAAAAACAACAATAATAATCAAATAGTCAAAAAAAAAAGTCACATTGTCATGTTCAACATAAATTAAATAACAATGAACGATAATTTGATTTACAATTTGTCTTGCAGAAAATCATTTATTTTCTGCAAGACTACTTTCTTCTTTTTGTCAATTTACCTAAATTGTCAAAAACAATAAACGTTCTCACATACCTTCTGCCGAACTTCTACCTGCTCTCCGAAGCACGGAGGGATCTTAATGTGTTATGAAAGGTCACCCATCCATAGGCTGACCTGGCTAGAATTGCTTAATTTTGCAATGTACTATCCTTTTGCGTTTAAAGGATGCAAAAGTGAATCAGGTGTTTGTAAACTAATTCACTACGGGTTTCACAATCATTCTCTTTGTCTATGGCCAGTTTATCTACCTTGTCTATCGCCATTCGTTACAATTTATCCTTGACTTGTCATCATTAGCTTAAGAAACTAAAGGAAAGAACTAAGTGGAATAGAAAAACAAGGAAAGCTTAGCCCTGCATCATATTTAATTATTGACAGGAAATTGTATCCGATGAAAAAACGATTATTTAACTTGCATGAACCATCGTGGTCTGGTCTTTCATCCACCGTGGGAAAGCCATGCTTCGGCACGAATAGGCTGGCTCAACCGGAGTGATACCACGGCCTTACAGAAAACCGGTGTTAAGCAATTCTTTCGTTGCCTTTCACTGAGTGAGTGAGGGTACCGGAGCCCAAATCCCCCCTCGCGCTGACTCGAGCGGACTCCAAGGGCGACAACGCACTTGTGACTTAGAAGTTGCAGGTGTACATGAGCGGCGGTAGTTGCTTATCATCAGGTGACCCGTCTGCTCTTTTGCCCCCTTATACCATAAAAAAAAGAAATGTTCATGTTAACTTTTCAGTAACTCCTTACAAGTTCCTTGGATAAAAAACTGCACCAAGTGAGCTTTATAGTACAAACTCACTTCGCTCCTTCAGCTCGCTTCGCTCTCTATATGAAACACCCTGTTTGATAATCGGGTAATAGAACCTGTGGACGTTTGAAGCACCAAGAATGAACGTTAAAATGTTTATTCATTCATTTTTAACTATTTTTCAATTATATTATGATTAGTATATTATGTTATATACTCAAAGGATTAATGCTGGGCCAGACAATCAGCACGCAGGCCACGCAGCAGGTAGGTGACGTGTTATAGTGCAACGCTATCGCACTCGACTTTCAATCAATGACTTAGGTAGTACATTGCACTTACTCGACTAGCCCCGCCCACTGTCCGAACTCAGCTTTATTCTTAGGGCATTACTGCATATAGACTTCTAACGTGCGTAGTCAATAAAATTGCAAGGTTTTGTTCGGTTTTATCCCAACTGCGAAAAAAAGGCATATTATTTATTATCGTGAACATTTTTACAGGTTACCAAAAATGGCAAGCTACACACAGTCCAAGAGGGCACGGCAAATGGTGACACCTGCGGTGGCCGGTGTGGAGCAGAGCAATGTGCGCTTTGCCGCGGGGACGCCGACACCGACAATAAACAAAACATTGTAAGTAACCATCGCTTTCAGAAGGAAACTCAAACGAACGATAATCTTTACTAAGCTAAAAAAAGTACCTCCAATGAGTTATATATACTTAGTTATGCAGAAAAATCTCCCGTTTCAAGTGGGATATGCAAGTCTAGTTTGGAGACTTAGAACAAAACTTTAAAAACAGATATTCATTAATAAAATCATTATATATTTTTGAAATGGCATGGCGATTTAAGCCTTTACATTGGGGCTTAAATCGCGAAATAGAAGTCACTTGTACCCGTCACTATAGAACTACCCTCTTTGAGAAGAGAGTGTTTGTCCACAAAGATATACAATAAGATTCCTAATGATATTAAATAATTACGTCTGTCTATGTGTCTTAATTACGTGTATGTAACATTTATGTCTTTAAAAATGAATTGTTCCGATTTCTTGCAGAAGATTTCTATTACTCTGTTGATGAATTGTTATAATATAAGTATTCAACTTCCGTGTGGTGACGGATTAAGAATACAGAGTGTCACCACCCCTATTCATCCCTTGGGTGTCGTAAGAGGCGACTAAGGAAGCAAACTACGCAGGACAACACCACTGCAAAGAGAAGGAAAACTTGACACAAACCTTATACCAACCCGTCTGGCCAGCGTGGTATAGTAGGCCAAAACCTCCTTATGAGAGGCTTATGTCCAGCAGTGGACTTTTAAAGGCTGTTGATGATGATGGTGATGAATTGTTATCGACTAGATTTTTTTAATCTTTCATGTCCATGTGACATTAAACATGGACATGAAAGGTTATATGTTAATAAAGATAATTGAATGTTGTTGACTTCCTTGTGTCTGTCATGACCAATAGTAATAATAACATATATATAATCTTCAATTAAATTTTTATCAAATAATCAGAATTTTAATATAATATAATTTTAAATAATAATAATCATTATATTATTTAATATTTTTTATGCCCAAGGACAACCCTATACCAACCCGTTTGGCAAGCGTGGTATAGTAGGCCAAAACCTACTTTCTAAGGAGAGGCCTATGTCCAGCAGTTTACTATTAAAGGCTGTTGGTGATGATGCCCAAGTGACAGATCATAGAATGTGATCATAGGATGAAACAAATAAACGATTTGATTTGATTTGAAACAATAAAGCTGAACAGTTTATCTTTTCGTTGAATTCTTTCATCCTTATATTTACTAAATGATATTTCATATTTTGCCCTTGGGTCCGCTAAAAGGAACACACCACACGCCATACAGATGCCTCATACAACGGACTGACTTCACATTTTTCCCAAACGTATTAATTACTTAACTTGAATCCCCACACTCCAGGAAGATGCAGACGAAACACAATCTATCGAGGAGCACGTGCCAGGGCTCAATCTCGAATTTCTGCGGCAATTGATCTCGTTGGCGAGGATCATGGTCCCAGGAGTCAGGAGTCACGAAGTGGCCCTACTTACTGCACACACCGCTTGTCTCTTCTCTAGGACGTTTCTGTCTATATATGTGGCGTCATTGGAAGGATCCATTGGTGAGTTTTTATTAAAAACTAGACTTTTTGGGTTTCGTAAAATAAAATTATTAATTGAGAATTCCAAGTCCATCGGTAGCCTATTTAAATTTGCTATTTTACTGCTATAATTTATTGACTATACGTAATTTCTCAAAATAGTTATAGAAAAAAATTCCGAAAGTGTCAAAATTATTCTGTTTTTACGCAGTTGAATTATAATTTAATTACATATTATAAACTAACTTTAATTTAAATTATCATAATCTCTAAGATAAAAAATATATAAAAAACAGTTTAAACGATTTAGGGAGTGGTACGTTTTACCCGCCAAGAATGCACTAGTTAGGTAATTCTTTTTTTAAAGTAACTGATACTAAAATTTGGACTTTAGTAATAAATTCTTGTCCTTCACACAACACACTTAAAGCGCTTTTTATCCTTAATTTCAGTAAAACACATAGTCCAAAAAGACATGCGCCGTTTCGCGTACCTTTTGATGCAGTGGTTCGGTATTGCCATTCCGGCCACATTCATCAATTCCATGATCAGATACCTCGAGTCCCGCCTAGCGCTGGCCTTCAGGACAAGGCTTGTGAACCACGCCTACAATCTGTACTTCAAGAATCAAACTTACTACAGAGTCGCCAACTTAGATGCTAGGATTGAAAACGCTGACCACAGGTAACTTGAATGATTAAAGATTTTTGACTTTTACCATATTTTTTTTCTCTCTTGATTAAACTAACTAGAAATATTAATTTCAATACAGTAGGTTACGAGCAACAGTAAACGAAGGTATTAAAAATATGGCATTCATTAGATAAAGTAGAAAGACAATAAGACGTGGTAATCCTTTGAGAAAGTTAAAAGGGGAATCAACTTATAGCGACTAAATTTACTGCAATTTAAAATTTGCTGCATAACTGAAGTACTTTTGTCGACATTATTTTGAGATTAGAGGCTCTAAGCAAAAGATCTTAGAGTATAACAAAGCCCTGAAGGAGTAAACTGTGTATTATAAAGTTCGAAAAAAGCAAATTGTTGTAAGTTGCAAACACAATCAAGTCGACTACGTATAAATAAGGGTGACCTCGTCTACTCTCCCTACTAACAAGTCATGTCCTCGATGATATGCATCTAATCTATAAAAATTTAGTTTACCAACCATAGTGAACATAGTAAATTGACCTTTCAAAGGAAAATAAGTACTAATGACAAGTGATACGGCGTACAATAGAATGTGCAATTAAAATCCTTATTTCGTAACCGTTGCACATTCTACTTTATTGTGAGCCTGTAAGATTCCTTTTTTCTGTAATCTGTTTTTATTATTAAATTTAAGTGTTTAACAGGCCAATGTATTTTTTCAGGTTGACAGAAGACGTGTCAGTATTTACCCAGTCGGTGGCTCACCTGTACAGTTCGTTGACGAAGCCCCTGTTCGACCTGCTACTCATCGTTCTGACTCTCGCCAGCTACTCAAACAAGATGAAGGGCAATATTTTTATGGGTGAGTATAGGATCTGACATCTCCATCCATCTAGAGCCCATGTTGCAAAGTGGTAACAAGTCTTTAGATGTAGTGGTTAGACGTCTTTAGCCGCATGGCGTAGTGGTTTGTGAAACGGACTGCTATTCTAAAGGTCGCGGGTTCGATTCCCGCTCAAGTCAAACATTTGTGTGCATGAACTTTTATTGTTTGATTTAATCTGGGTGTTTCTATGTATAATATGTATGTATTTCCAAAAAAAACTATATATGTATTTATATCAGTTGTCTAGTACCCATAGTACAATAGTACGGGAGCTAGCAACGTTTGGAAAGTAAGAATTTTAGGACAGCTGATTTTGTGATATGTCGTCCTTCTTGCACTTTCGGTTAGAATCTGGGCTATCTGGCTGGCGGTAGCGGTTGCGTTCATTAGTGATGACATGACTTTTTAATTTTAATTCAAGACTTAACAATCGAATTAATGTCTGGCAAATTTATTTTAAGTTTTTCTTATCTTTAAATAACATAATATTAAAATTACAGACATTATAAAATACTTTGAAATTTTATAAAAAAAAAAACAAAAATCGCGTATGGCACATAGTTAGCATTGTCAAAAATGTCTGGCAATAAAAAAAGTATGTCAGGTAGACTTATTTAAAAATAAAAAATTAAGCCTTCTAAAATGTTTTTAAAATACAGGATTATTACCTGGACAGGTAGGATGCGCACTAATGAACGCAACCGCTACCGCCAGCCAGATAGCCCAGATTCTAACCGAAAGTGCAAGAAGGATGACATATCACAAAATCAGCTGTCCTAAAATTCTTTCTCGAAAACGTTGCTAGCTCCTATACCACAAGTTATGCTTAGTTTGGGACTAGATGGCGTTGTGTGAATGTGGTAAAAAAAAGTTAGACCTCAAGTTTAGACCTCAGTTCAACTTAGGAATCTCTCAAAGACACAAAGCGGGCATAAAAGAATGGAAGCAAGTGACAAACCGTTGTCTGTGCTAAGATTTTTCCGACTTTAATTTCAGTCCTACGTAAAAAAGGCAAGTTTAAGATTGATAAATAGATAGTAAATTGAATAGAAAGTAAAGTATTCCACACGCATACAATATCATGTCCTGATTTAGAACAAGATAAATCCTCCTTCAGAATAAACCCCGAACGAACACAAAAGAATTATAAACATCCGAATTAATAACCTAATCGTTTTTGAAGTCGGTTAAAAAAACGTATTTGACTACAACGTTCTGTAAAATAGAATTAAAATAAAAATTTAATAACCAATCCAAATGATTGGTAAAGAACTATGTATATGAAACAAACACACAAACTGTACTGTGAAGTGTTATTGTTAGATAAATGTATATATACTTATAAATTTGTCTTATTCTAAATGTTTAAATTTTAAAATATGTAAAATGAAAGAAAGAAAGAAAATTTATTGGCACATGCAAAATTCTTTACGAAAAGTGCCAATAGGTCTGAAGCTCAGCATACTGTTGGATGGCCACAGGCGCCTTCCAACGCTGGTTTTCAGCTGAGCCCATATGACTGGGTGTTGTCAGCTCGAAACCATTCAAGTGTGTGATTGTGTACGTGTATATATGCGTATATATATATGCTATGTGTGATTGTGCAGAAAAATTAATATATATATATAATAATATATATATATATGTGTGTGTGTTTCTGCGACGCATCAATATCATAAAATAAGGGGGGAGAAAAAACTACACTAAAAAATAGTGAAAAATATGTAATAATATATGAATGCCGATTTAAAAAAAACATGTAATATGCCGTCATTATAGTAACATGTAATTGTCCGTTTGATGACGGATTAAGAATACAGAGTGTCACCACCCCTATTCATCCCGTGGGTGTCGTAAGAGGCGACTAAGAGAGCAAACTACGCAGGACAACAGCACTGCAGAGAGAAGGAAAACTTAAAACAAACCCTATACCAACCCGTCTGGCCAGCGTGGTATAGTAGGCCAAAACCTCCTTCCTAAGGAGAGGCCTATGTCCAGCAGTGGACTAGTAAAGGCTGTTGATGTGTGATGATGTGTGATGTAATATGCCCGGGAAACGATATTCGTATAAAACGATATTATCGTTTTAATAATATTTTTCCCAGGTCCCGGTATAGCCACAGTGGTGATCTGCATGACCGGCCAGTTACTGAGGATACTGAGTCCCAGGTTCGGCGCCCTGGCGGGTGAGGAAGCTCGTATGAAGGCGAATCTCCGACACGTTCACGCGCGACTCATTGCCCACGCTGAGGAGGTCGCTTTCTATGGTGGACATAAGGTAGGTTGATAATTAATTATAGGTTTAAGGATCTCTGAAAATTATATTCAAAAGGAAAGTTTTATATAGGTATTTAACCCTCCCCCCCCCCGCTTTATCCTTCAACCCCTGGGTGTATTTCTCGAGTTGCACCTTTCTTGCCCTGATGATATAGGTAAACAGGGGGCTTGATTGTCCCTTTAAAAAAAAATACATATATTATTACACCATCAATTCGATTGGTCTTTTACTCTCGTGGTTAGCGATGCTGAGTGCTAAACCAGACGCCGTTACTTCGATTCTCAACCGCGACAAATAATTGTGTGATGAACACGATCTTTTGTTCTGTCCCTGGATGTAATTTTTATTATCTCTTTCTCTTTTTAAAAGACAACGCCCGCATTAGGAATAAATCCTGTGTCGCGGGGGACTTTACAAACATACATGAAACGGACACAAAGAACACCCAGACTCAGAACAACAATTTGTGGATCTCACAAAGTGTCGTCCCATGTGGGGATCGGACCCACAACACTCAACGTAGAAGTAAGCGGCGCGGCGACCGCTTAAACCCCTACGCAGTTTGGGCAGTATTCATAATAAAATGATATATTTTGTTTCATTGACCGGTGTTATTTGACCACCTTGTTTTTAAATTCCTCAATTTTTTCCTTCAAGGTGGAACTAGGGCAACTCCAAACAGCATACAAGGAGTTAGTGGCACAGATGACGTCAGTGTTCAACAAGAAACTATGGTACGTGATGCTGGAGCAGTTCTTCATGAAGTACGTGTGGTCTGGCACTGGCATGGTTATGTTGGCACTGCCTATACTCACCGCCACCAGGAGTGATGGTGAGACGAATATTTTCATTAATCATTGCCACTAAGCCACTATCTGTGTAGTGAAGAATACAGAGTGTCACCACCCCTATTCATCCCGACTAAGGGAGCAAACTACGAAAGACAACAGCACTGCAAAGAGAAGGAAAACAAACCCTATACCAACCCGCCTGGCCAGCGTGGTATAGTAGGCCAAAACCTCCTTTCTAAGGAGAGGCCTATGGAAAGCAATGCACTACTAAAGGCTGTTGATGATGATGCCACTGAGTAAGAGAGCGATATAATCTAGACTAGCAAATAATAATGATAAGTCGAATATTTTCTACACACCTTCACTAAAAATATCATTGAAAAATGTTACAGAAACGGGGAAAAATTATTCCTTGCTTGCATAAACTGTTAGTTACGCAACAATCATGTATTACGGAATTATTCCTCTTAAAAAGTTCTAAACAAGTTCTCAACATATGTTATGTCTCTCTTTTCATCTCTCTCACTTTAATGTGACGTCAGTAAACGGATGATATTTTCTGAAAATGTTCATTTTGAAATCTTCAGAATTATATCTTTAGGTTCACCCAATATTTTTCTATATTGTTAAATGTTATTTTATTGTAGGTTCAAGCCAGGGAATAAGTGATAGAGCCGAATACATGACGACGTCAAGGAATTTGCTTAACTCAGCCGCAGACGCCATCGAAAGGCTCATGTCCAGTTATAAGGTAAAATAAGTTAAGTTAGTTCAAAAAGACAACTCCCGCATTAGGAATATATCCTGTGTCGCGGGGGACTTTACAAACATACATGAAACGGACACAAAGAACACCCAGACTCAGAACAACAATTTGTGGATCACATAAAGTGTCGTTCCATGTGGGGTTTGAACCCACAGCACTCAGCGTAGTAGGAAACGGCGTGGCGACCGCTTAAACCACTACGCTATCCGTGCAGTCAAAATATTTTACAGTAATTCTGCAGAGTTCATTCATTTATGAATTTGAAGGCCAAGTGTTTACAGTTAACACGTCAGAATTGTGAGAAAAGGTCAAAGGAGAGGAGAGGTCCTTAGGAAGGAGTTTTTGGAGTACACAATTATATAGTAAAACTATCATCAGACCTGGGCCTCAATTCTGCTATTTTATGTTCACGTGATCATCAATCATTTCCTTATAATTTGAAAACATATTACATTTTTTTGAGGAAATGATTTATTTATTTTTCCAAATATGGCAATCTTTTTGATTTCATCACTGATGAGCCACTGCCATTCCATCGCCACTGTAAAGACACTGAGTTAGTGTAGACTACCGATATTTATACCGATGCCAATGGCCACTCGATGGCATCTCAATAAATATCGGTGTGTCAGTTGTATGACAGTGGCTTGGCGTGGACATAAAAAAGCAGAATTGAGGCCCTGCCGTCCTGTATAGTTCTGATAGTTGGCCTATTAAGAGAATGGATGAGAGACGCCTGAACGTAGCCGAAATGCGCATGCTGAGGTGGATGTGTGGTGTGACTCAGATGGACAAGGTTAGGAATGAGGGAGAACGAGGGAGTCTAAAAGTAGCGCCACTGGATGAAAAGTTAAGAAGTAATAGGTTATGTTGGTATAGACATGTCATGCGGAGGGGTGAGGAAAATGTGGAGAAGAAAGTGTTAGGTTTTGGAGTCCATCAACCTTTTCTTTGGTCTTCCTCTTCTCTTGGGGTACAAGAGAAGAGGAAGACCAAAGAAAAGGTGGATGGACTGTATGATTGAGGATATGACTAGGAAGGGATTAAACAGTGAGATGTAGAATGATAGATTAGAATGGAAGAATGATACTTACTGCGGTGACCCCAAAAATTTGGGATGAGGGTAGATAGATGGTGACAATAATGTTGTTTTCAGCTCAAAATTGATTAACTGCTGGGTGGCGGTCTTTTTCAAATATATCAAATATATATTAATATTACACATATCTTTTTTTTGGGGTATCAAAAATACAAATGGACCGTGTATTTTTACAAACGGTAAAATAAATGAATTGATATATTGATATTATTCATTATATTCTAGAAAAAAAATACATTCTTCTGTTTGTTGTTCAAAAATGCTCAACGCGTCTAATGAAGTTTTCACTTCAAAAATAAAAAACTTCCGACACGAATCTATGTTGTACGTATATACACAATATATGTTTATATTGGATATATGTAGTTATATTATCAATATATTTAAATCCAAACTCAACTCTCCTGTAAACGGGGCCAATATACGTTGATATTTATATACAGAGGTGTCGGTAACGGTAACAGTATCGCGAGTTGAATGGTTTTTTCCCATCTCATAAAATACATTATTTTGTTTGCTGTTCAAACTCGCCTAAAGAAGTTTTCACTTAAAAAATCCAGTAGTATAAAAGTAATAAAGAATTAGGTATAGTCGAGTAGAATCCGTGGTGTAAACGTGGTGTGGATGCAGGAGGTGGTGACGCTGGCGGGGTACGCGACGCGCGTGTCGGACATGCTGGTGGTGTTCGGCGAGGTGGCGCGCGGGCGCTGCGTGCGCGCCGTGCACGTGCCGCCGCTGCACGCCGCCTTCCAGGTCACCTTCCGCGACAACCGCCCCGTGCCGCAAGGTGAGCCTCTCGTCCCTCGCCCCCCTCGCACCCGACAGCTTAGCGGACACTTTGAATTTGCGTGACTCCTTGTGAAGAACAAAAATAATAGCATCATTGAAAAAACCCCGACACAAAAAAAATAACAATACTCGTTGAGGCTGTTCTAATAAGCCCCAACATGGTATATATGCTGTTATTATCCGAGGAATTGCCTATCCTGCAGACTACTTGATGCAGCAAGAAGTTCCACTTTACCATGTCGTAGAAATACCATCAAAGTAACGGTATACCAAGTTTTAGATCATTCGGACCTATGGATTTTAGTGAGATCCCTTCATTACCTAGGAAGTGAGCTAATGATCTTCAAAATTTATATACTATTAATACTAAACATTTATGAGCTATGATTCCACAGGCAGATACACGGGTTAAACTAATAACACCACTCGTTTTCCGTCAGGGTTTAAAAAAACGCCAGTAATATACGTGAATACTATGTAGAGTTCTAGACTCCCCCGCGGCTAGATCTGTAAAAAGCACATTTGAGACCCGGCAATAAGACCTAGTGATGAAACACTATCTAGTTTTAATAGGTTCGAGTTCAATATACGTTTGACTCTGATAAGATGAAAAAATAATTGCTAGAGTCAAATTACATAGAAACTATCCAATTTATAGACAGGTAGAATTAGCGAAAAAAAACTTAAATATCCGGAAAATTTCTATTATCACGAAATTTTTTTTTGCAATAAAAATTGTAACAAAATATTGTCAGCTAAGGTGCCAAAATAAATAATTAAAAATGGTATAAAACAGTTTTTCGCGTCTGGAGCTAAGTTGCTATTTAGTTCGGAAAATTCCTATTGAAGCGAAAAAAAATCAAAAATGGTAAAAAACAGTTTTCTCGTCTGGAGCGAAAACTAAAGGTCCTACGAAAAAAGTTGAATGTAACAAATGTGCGCGATAAAAAAACAAAGAGAATGAACCCCCGGAGACCCAAACCGAATTCAATTTTTTTCGTAGGACCTTTAGTTTTCGCTCCAGACGAGAAAAATGGTTTTTACCATTTTTGACATTTTTTTTTCGCTTTAATAGGAATTTTCCAAACCAAATAGCTACTCCTACCTGTCTATTAGTCCTAATAATGTTATTAGTAATGTGAAAAAGCGTTGGCTATCAAAAGTAATTTTTCAAATCCGACTGCATGTTTTAAGATCTTGCTTGCTTCCTCTCAACTCACAGAAATATTAACTTCAGCGTTGTATGTTAGTTTAAATTTAAAGCAAAAGTGCGTTCAACAAGTCTTCGATATCTACCGTTACATAATAGGAGCATGTCAAAACCCTACAATAAGACCTATATTATAATAATTGATCTCAAACTCAATTAATGAATTTAATTTCGATGGCGGTCGTCGCTTTTCATCAGGGTAACCGGTAATGAATAAAAACAAAAAATAACTGATTTTAAATTAAATTTCTACTTATTCATTACTATTACAAATATTTATGAAAATATTGACGTATATTTAAGAAAAATCTTCATCTTCCAGGTAAAATCATTTACACAAATGATCTATCCATCAGTCTTAGAGGAGTGCCGATAGTTACTCCAGCGTGTGACGTAGTCGCGGGAGGAGTGACGCTGGATATAGCGCCCGGTACCCATCTGCTCATTGTTGGGCCGAACGGATGCGGCAAGTCCAGGTAAATAAATATCTTAATTACAATTGTTGTAACTTGGACAAAGATCTAATAAGAGAGTTTGACAGATTCGACACTGAGAATGAGGGAGACACTTGAAACTATTAAATTTATGTGAATGGGTCACAGGGTCCCACCGCAATTTTTATTTATTTTTAATTTTTAAATTGATTAAAACTGTGTTCAGTTTATGTACCTGACCTTTTGCTCTCCGATTTAATTATAGGATAGGCGCATACAGGTAAACCAAAAACGCTCTCTGCAAGCTACTGTATGCTCAGTCCCCTTTCAAGGAACCACCCAAAATCTTTAATACACTTTGCCCCTTACCAATATATTTGGTACACATTGCGACCCGGTACGGTTTGGTACACGAATATATTGATAAAAGGAAAGATGTTGATGCATGATGCAACATGGAGATGAATCGCAGAATGCAAACTTAGGTTTACATTTTGTTACCGGTTTGGGAGGCCGCATTGCAGTTTCTTTAGAACCTGCACAATGTTCCCAACCAACATCAAGTTGAACATATGGTGTTTGTTTAGTTTGCATTGTCGAGTGACGGTCTGTGACACTACACAGTCTTTGTGTTTATGAGCTTCATAGTTTGTTATTATCTAGAATTATATCAATGTTTTTCAGTGCTTTATGCCAAGACTTGTGTTTCATCTCTCAATTTATGACGGGCTTGTTTTTCAAGTTGTTTTGTGACCCTGACTGCTAAGCCGAAGGTCGTGGGCTCAACTGCCAATCTTGGACAAATAATTGTGCGATAAAGACAATGTTCTGCTTGGGTGTAATTTAACTACAATATGTATTTAAAAGTATTTAACTATGTTTATCAGCAGTCTGGTCATCGTAGGACAGGTACTGCCTAGTTTAGTATCAGACTGTCGTGATGTGTAAAGTTATTATTATTGAATAAGTTTACTATTTTTCAATGTAACATCATGGTTCAGGTCAATTGTCGGTTATCTGCATTAGCTTTAGTGAATTTATTGATTTGCCCGATAGAGGTTAAAGTATAGATAAAGTTTATAGAAAGGTCAAAAATATTTTCTGAATTGGTAGCAATAAGATCTTAATTTTATTAGCTTTATTGATGTAATAGTATCTGCTTTGAGAAAAGTAATTTAGTGATACTTAGGTACTATGAGGAAATTATGGATGTAACAGGACGAGTAATGGTTCCACTATAGTACCTTTCGGTACGCTTGAAGGAAGTAACTGTAATTGGAAGAGTAAGGTATATTTTTCATTACTAAATTGGTTAAAGTGGTCTAAATAAACCTTAATTAGATCAAATACAATGCGTTCGAAACCATATTTAAAGTGATATGAATATAAATTTATGATTAACGCAATCAAATGCTTTTGTCAACTCCAAATCATTAATTAGAACTTTATGACAATTATCTGAGTGTAATGATTATATGTGTTTCCAGTCTGTTCCGCATAATCTCTGGTCTGTGGCCGGTGTTCGGCGGCGAGCTGCACGTGCCGCGGCCGTGCGCGTGCGCGCACTGCGCCGACGAGACCAACCTCGACGGCAGCGGCTACTGCTCCTCGCGCCCCATCATGTTCTACATACCGCAGAGGTCACTCATCGCTTTTACCTTCACTTATTAATGATACTTAATTGTCGAGTCTAATTAGTTTTCTCTTTTTAAAATCTCAAAATTCTGTCTCTTTTTTAAAATAACGACGTGACATTTGTTTCTCTTATAGGGTAGTTTGAGAATTAGAAAAAGTAATCGAATCGAAAGAATCTTAGGACCCGATCGGTCTGGGGGCGGGGCTTCATCGTTGCGTCACTACTTTCTTAACACGAATGGACTGTAATTTATATTTGTTCTAATTCTCATAGTGTCTTCTTACTCCCACAGGCCCTATATGTCCATGGGTTCTCTAATAGACCAAGTGACGTATCCATCAAAAGTGAAAGAGGGAGACGTGGCGGCGGAACGTCGTGCCCTACACATACTGAAGACGGTCCGACTGGACCAGTGCGCAGCCAGACATGGAGGACTAAGGGCTGACAGGGACTGGAGGTCTACGCTGTCGGGAGGGGAGAAGCAGAGGATGGCCATGGCGAGAATGTTCTACCACAGGTATGGTAGAGGATATAAACTCGAATTGTATTTTTTTTCCATAACCCAGTGGCTAGAGCGTCAGACTTGCGGTTGTGGGTTCGAACCGTACCACATCCACAATTGAAATTAATTTTAGTTACAGCCTAATTTTAGTAAATAAATAGATTTAAAGGCCCTCTAAAACCAGTAAATTAATTATATTACAGTTAGAGAAATATCAAAAAATGTCCAAGGCTGTAATTTGCCGCTTTCGCGTGTTTCGACACTTGTTTCGTCTCTTTACACGGTAAAAACAGTGAGGATGTCTTTGCCATTTGTCTAATATTCCACTGTTGGACATACATAGGCCCCTCCTTAGAAAGGTGGTTTTGGCCTACTATACCACGCTGGCCAGGCGGGTTGCTATAGGGTTTGTTTCAAGTTTTCCTTCTCTTTGCAGAGCTATTGTCCTGTATAGTTTGCTCCCTTAGCGTTACTGGTCACAGCAAAGTCAACCAGTAATTCAGATTAGTTTCTTAAAATTTATCAAGATTTAAACCCATTAAAATTGTTTTTAAAAGCTTATAATTACTATGTAAGCGTGTATTGCAGACCGGTGTACGCGCTGCTGGACGAATGTACGAGCGCGGTCTCCATGGAGACAGAGGTGGTCATGTACGAGGAGGCCGTCAAGGAGGGCATCACGCTCCTCTCCATCACTCACAGGCCTAGCGTCTGGTTAGTAAAATATTAATTTTCTTTTATCTTCTTAGTTTTTACTCGGTCGTAGGGTATGTTTTATGTACTCAGTTTTTTTTGAAGAGAGAAGATACGATATCGTACATGAAATGACATTAGAGAAGATTTGAAAACGATTATGACATATTGTAATCCAAATAATTACAGTAAAAAATAATTACCCATTACCAATAAACCATCTAATAAAAATATTTCATACCTGACTGACAGTTTTAGGGTTTTTATTAACCAAACAAGCAGAAAAACCCAGGCATTTTTAATTGTATTATTGCTATGATGTCACATCTTTTCTCTCGCTATTCTACAATCTGTGGAAGTGATGTCAATATGAAGTGCAGTCGGGTCACCTGATGGAAAGTTACAACCGCCACCCATGAACGACTGCAACTCAGGAGTCACAAGGCCTTTGAAGAAGGAGTGCACATCATACAGGCTCGATGGCTTTTAGTAAATACTAGCATTTGCCCGCAGCTCCGCGTAAATGTCGGTTATTGCAGTAAAAAGCATTGGTATCTCCATACCAAATTTCATCTAAATCGCTTTAGCGGTTCTTGATTCCCCACATAAACTTCCACCCTCCTTTTCACCCCCTTAAAGTAATACTTCTGAGATAAACATACCCTATGTCCTTTCCCGGGACTCAGAATATCTCAACGCCAAATTTTATAAAAATCGGTTCAGGGGTTTAAGCGTGAAGAGGTAACAGACAGACAGACAGAAACACACTTTCGCATTTATAATATTCGTATGGATAACTGTTATAATGTTTCCAGGAAATACCACACGCACGTTCTGGAGTTTGACGGCGCGGGCAACTGGTCGTACCGTCCGCTGGAGAAGGACGCGCCCGCTCCACTCCCCGCGCTGCCCGCCCCCGCCCCCGCCCCCGTCCCCGCCCCCGCCCCCGCCCCCGCGGATCCTGTGGCCGAGCACTGACGCCTTCGCCTGCACCGTACACTGTACACTGGTACCGCTTAGAAATAGTCTATTATGGCCGAAAATTAATATTAACAAATCTAGGTTGGATTTGAGCATTCATCAAACTGTCTAACAACTGGTTGTTTGTATGGTCATAACTAGAGACCGAATTATATGCAACATAAAAAAACTTGTTATATGCATGCAAAATGTTTGAAATTTGCAAGAAAATTTACAGAATATGCGAAATTAAATGATAAATTTTAGGAACCCCAAAAAAAAAGTACGTTTTTATTTTTTTATGAGTAAATTATTTTTTGATTCTCAATAACAAGTACAGTAACATTACATGTCATAAAAATGTTTTTTTTTTTATCGTAACTGTCAAAACAAAAGATGCGCGCGGCTACTGTCTCTGTGTTCCGGGTCGAATTCGCGGTATTATCGCTTTTATCGCATTTCGGAACACGGTGAATGCACTGCACTCGAAAAAATACTCTAAATGTACCGATAATATGCATTATAATTAGATTTTAAGTAAAATATGCTATTATCGTTGAGAATGGCTTAAATAAGCAAAAGCATATGCAAACCCCAGTGGTTTAAGGTTTGCCTACATTTACCTAATTGTGTAGTTATGTAAATAAATAAATAAAAAAAAAAAAAAAAAAAAATGCATATAATCCGGTCTCTGGTCATAACTGAGTGTTCAATATGACCATACAAGAAAGTTCATACTGTCCTCTTCTCTGCGTTCAATGAATCTTCTTCACTGATAATACTTAGTAAATATAGATTGCTTATAAAACATACTAGCTTATTTTTAAGTATTTTTTATATTAATTATGTATTATTCAAGTGTGTTTAGTGTATCCAGAATATCAAAAATTAACTTACGACGATGATATATTGGTGCTAATTCTGTTGTTCGAAAACTCTCTAAACTAAACTAAAAATCACTAAAAATTTGTTTAGTTCTGTCAAACAACGTTTCCTAATCTGAAAACGTAATATTTGACAGGACAAATTTTTTTTTAGTGATTTTTAGTTTAGTTTAGAGAGTTTTCGAACAACAGAATTAGCTCCATTGGATTAGATTCTCGAGTTGAGCAAATTCTTATAAGTACTTTATTTAAGAGCATTTCTTAGTTAGAAATGTGAGAACGAGATACACATACATACAGACAGATTGAAGAAAACAGAGAATGTATAAAGTTATATTTAATATTATTTTCGGTCAAAAAACCACTAGTAATGAATATTAGTATGTCACAGCACTCGCTAGCAGTAATATGACCATATGAAATCAGCGTGTCCTAGGTATGGAAATTGTCACTGTAACAGTTACAAATACCTGTGATTTTTTTGGCAGCTCAACATTTTACATTACAGAGATATTATTTCAAGAGAGAGTATTTAAATCCACTAGTATCGGAAACTATGAGTTATAAATTAGCGTTATTTAGTTCACTCTAGTTCTATAATATCATCATAAAGATAGTGGAACCATGATGCCTGACATATGCATAAACATATAAGACCTAAATTGATTCGTTACTTTTTGTCAAGTTTGTTTTACTTTTAAAAACAAATATTAAAAGTAAATGATTTGATGATAGTTCTTTTATACAAGTATTTATTTACACAACCTATCGTTTTGACGTTAAAAAGAGAAATTTATTTAATTTGACAGTCAAATACCGAATGGGTAAGGAAATAATATGTCGAAACTAAAATATACAATATCAGTCGTGGCTGCTAATATATTATTAAAGAATACTAGTGACGTAGGTTACATCACTACAGAATCTTTGCTGAGCTCTCCAGCTTTAAGCTAAATGTTGTGGAAGTGGGTCCAGTCCACGTCAGTAATGCAAAGGGTCTGGTTCGAACTCGCAACCAAGCCAAGAGCGACAATTTTCATATCTTCAAGGCAATCGCCCAAGTGTTAAGGTAGTGTAGGGCCACCTTAGGGGCTTTCCATAAATTACGTGACATTACCAGGGGAGAGGGGCAGACAGAGCTTCGAAGAAATGTATCATTGTGATAAGTCGTGGCAGGAGTTCTAAATTTCGCGATGACACATTTTAAAACCTAATATATTTAAGTTAAATTGCACAATTTAGGATGTTACCATTGGGAGGGTAGTCTCACAGCTGTGACAAGAACTAGAGTGGCAAAAAGTCATGTGACGTAATTTGTGGATGGCCCCTTACCGATCTTCGATCGATAAAGGGGTGTAAATTATTCACAGTTTCTATAGGAACTGGTATCTAATATATTATAATGATGATGGTACATCACTAATATGGCTGTACGAGGTTTGTTTTTTTTTAATGCTTTCGTCACATATGTGTGATAAAAATTTGATGTATCATGACACTAAATAAACTTTAAAAGTTAGAGAAATAAAAATTGTAACCTATGTGACATGGCGTTCAAATGGTTAAAGCTTAAAAATAGTATTTAATATGCAAATTATTTAGATGAATATCGAGTGGAATGTTGTGATAAATTTGTGTTTTTTTTTTATATCTAAGTGATTATAATGTTGCTGCTTTAAAAATATGTAATTAGTGATTGAATTATTTTTTCTAGAAATAGTATTGTGAACGTGAAATGTTAACAGTAATAAAGTAATAAGTATATAAAATAAAGTAAAAGGAAATAATTTTGAAAATTCCACCCCTAAGGTAAAAAATTAAGGAATTAAGAATAAAGTTTATGACAATTCATCACGATATATATAGATATTCAAGTCGGTTAAACGTTTTTTTTTTAAGTTAATATTTTGTTTACGTCAAATCAGCAACAAATAATATACCTGTTTTGTCCTTAAACTATTTATAACTAGTTTTTTTAACAAAAGCATACTTTTTTTTAGATTATTTTCAATATTTTTTATAAGATAGTGGTGCTAATTCCGTTGTTCGAAAACTCTCTAAACTGAACTAAAAATCACAAAAAATTTGTTTCGTCCTGTCAAATAACGTTTCCTGTTCTGAAAACGTAGAATTTGGGGAATTTTTTAGGGATTTTTAGTGTAGTTTAGAGAGTTTTCGAACAAGAGAATTAGCCCCATTGTATTCCATAAATGTATATAATTTCTTGTACTTTTGTAAAGTAGAGAATAGCGCGGGAAACGAAAATTCTACGTTAAGGAGGTTTGTTAATCTGTTGTCAACGTCCTTGTAGCCCATGTCAAAAAAAGAAAACAAATATTCAGTCGATGTTCATCAAATATTCATAAATACCAGTTTTTAAGCTAATTATATTTTATAGTTGTTTTTTTTTATAATTTTGTTAATGTGAGATTATCAATCATGGCTGTAAGATTTTTTTTTTTTTTGAATATTTTGTTTACAAATTTATTACAAATACTACATATCGAAATTATAAAAGAAATTATTCTGTATTTATTTGTATACATTGGTGTGTATATTGTAAATATATTAAGTTAGTTTTATGTACAGATATATGATACGTTTACAGTGAGGTATTAAAGGGAGGTAGAACTGAAATAAAGTGGGTTTTGTATGAAGGTCATTATTTTATTTTCACATCACATCATCACATCATCAGCCTTTAATAGTCCACTGCTGGACATAGGCGTCTCCTTAGAAAGGAGGTATTGACCTACTATACCACGCTGGCCAGACGGGTTGGTATAGGGTTTGTTTGGGCACACGCCCACCCCTGTAACTCCTGTACACCAGGATCCACAGCAGTGACCCACGAACACACCGAGTTATGACACTCGGGAAGTCCCAGGAAGAAATTAAACTGTCTTGGAACCCGCAACGAAATTAATCAGAAGAAAATTGGAGGAGTTGGAAATACAGTAAATCCACTTTCCTCCTTAGCAAAGCGGGAGACAAAATAAAGTTTAATTGGCATACACCCTTTTAAACAGGGAAGCACCACGGCCACAAAATATTACGGGTCCTACATGAGCTATATTTGATTTCTATAATATGTATGGCAGAATCGCCTAAACGCATGGAAATTCACCCTAGTTGACACAAGATCCCCATAGTATACCGCCCCAGATGTCACCTGCAAGCTATTCAGCATTATATTACGTTCATTATACCAAAGACTACATTCCCAGAGGATATGATGAGCAGACTGTTCATAATGAGAGTTAGGTGTTGAGCATTGACACAATGGTGACTCGACTAATTTAAATGAATAAAGCTTGCTCTTAAAGTTACCATGACCCGTAAGAAATTGAGCGACACAGTGATCCACCTCAAGCCATATCCTCGATAACCTTTCGCGAACAGATGGAAAGAATTGGTAAAGATGGCGCCCCTTGGATGATTCGTCCCAGCGTTGCTGCCATTCGTCTATGAGGTCATCATAGACATCGGACTGCTGTTGAGGCAATCTTGTAATTTTACCGCGATCCCGCGCGCCCAAGAAATCGCATTCCATGTTTTGTTGTCTTGAATAGTACATGGCTGCACGTCTCTGCACCTCGAGATCGACCGGAAGCACACCCGCCAACACCGGCAAAGCCTCAGTGCTAACCGTCCTATACGCCTTGCACAAAAATATCAGTGCAAGTCGTTGGCCTTGTAACAGTTTGCGACGGACAGCGCCTACGGTCGCCCTATCGGCCCATACAGGTGCACCATAGCACATGGAACCTAAATAAGTAGCTCCGTATATGATCTTTAATGTATTAAATGATAGACCCCACGTCGCAGTTGATATCCTTGTCAATGCACAGAAACTCTTTTTAGACTTTTCATTAACTATTTTAATATGTTCGATAAATGAAAAGTTTCTTTCTAAAACTAATCCTAGATAACACACTGTGGTTTTATTTTTTACAGTAACATTGTCAAATCTAATGCTCGGCGGTGATTTGAGGTTACCTTTTAAAAGTAACTGGAAGGTTTTGTTGGGTGCAAAAGTTAAGCGATTACGTTCACCCCATTGAGATATCAAGTTCAAACATCTATTGGCTAATCTCTCAAGCCCCGCCCTAGTATCAGATTCCACCAGTAATA